GACATTTTGGATCACCATTCCTCCTAAAAACACAAATTAGGGCCAACATTCCTCCCAATGACACCAATTCCAGGGCACTATTCTGCCCACTGACCCTAATTTTGGGTTACTTTTCCTTCCACCAACACTAATGGGCACTATCCCTTCTACTGACAGACTATAGAGCAGTGTCCCCATTTCTACCACTGACACTAATAATGGGGAACTATTCCTTCCACTGACACTAAATAGGGGGCACTATTCCTCTTCCCACTAACAAATCATTGTTCACTCCCTCTGACCAGTCTTGCCCATGACAGTATGTTCACAGGCAGATTCCCCTCCCTTCTACCCGTTAACATGTTATGTATAATATAAAAGAAGCTGCAAGCATCAGGAGAATGAGCGGTATTGCAGCTCAGACCCTGAGAAATGACAGTTCCATTACCCCAAACTAATCCATGATCATCTCCCGCCCTCTGCCTCCTCTCTCTTACTCTCCAGTCCATGACCAGGTCCTCCTCTACCAGTGAAACATTTCAGGCAGCCACTCTTCCCGCTCTCCATCTTGCCTCCCTGGACCACATCCAAATGAATTCTGCCTGTCTCCCCCTGCCATGGGTCAGCTACCATTCTATCTCCTCTTTTTTTCCCCTCATAGATCATTATCAGTTCCTGCTCAGCTTCTCCCCATCCAACTTCACAATCATGTATCCATGCAAAATCAAACCTTTTGAGACGACACGTGACCTAACAATGTCTCCAGCTAATATGGGGTTTGGTTGGGCAGCAGTGCATACTAGTGTGCTGAATAATGCAGAGGGGAAAAAACTAAAAGAAAATGTTCATGACCAAACACACAATTCTAAGTTTATTATAAGAACATGAAACTTTAAATCCTAACTCCAGGCAAAAGAGAGAAGAAACATCTTGCAGTGAGGCCCCCTGCAGTGTGAGGGTTAAAGTAATTTTAAAGTCAAAGGGTTTTTAAGCTATTTCAAAAGCTGTTGAAATCATTTACAACAGATGCTGCTTCTTGGAGTTTAAACGTTTTAGTTTCCTGCAGAATCATCTGGTCTCCTGAGCATGGGCCCCGAGATCCTGTTTTAGAATGGCTCCTTTCCCTTGTAGGGACCTATGGAGCCATCCTTGTATGTGAGCTAGTAAGTTCGGTGCGTCTCCACAAAAACAGGAAGACAAGACACTACTCTGCTCCCCCCTTGTTCCTTCCTTCTCCAAGCTAGTAGATGGAGGGCTGCTGGAGACAGCTCTGTCCCTTGTGATCTTGTACTGAACATGCCGTTCAGGGAAGCAGAGCTGAGGGAAGCCAGATGTTTGGAAACTTGATGATTAAGTGCTTGGGCAAAAATATAAAGCAATTCTTTGCTGAGCAAAGTATATTTGCTTGTTATGGATGAAAAAATGTTGAGAGTTTAATAATATAACTACTTGTTATGTTTAGGGGTCCAGCATAAGGAGTAGTAGCTACCTCACTCCAGCAGGCTCCCTCCATTGGTGCCGCCACTCCTATGGAGCCTTCTCTCTAACTTTACCTCTTCTTGCACCCCTAGACAGGCATTTATTACTTAAACTTATAGTCCATCACAGGAGTAAACTTGGAATGGTGGCTACTTTACATCACACACAGGGACCATGGGGAACAAAGTAGCCACCTTCCAGAAGGAAGGACAGTGTCAGCCCAAATTCAGAGATTAGATACGTTTTTGTTAATAGTTAAAGTACTTAAATGCATTTTTTAGATTTAACTCCCGAGTTTAGTGTCTGTTACTGGACAAGAAGTAGACTCATGTGGTCATCACTCTGCTCTCTGCTTGTGAGCCTTTTTCTTGTCAGCATGTGCACTCAGCAGAGCCTAATTAACAGAATAACTACATTAACTGGTGCTTTAATATCTGTCCAGAGTTCAGTTTTAAATCTAAGTGTTATTTTTTATTCCTGATAGTCCCTCATTTAAGCCACCATCTAGTTGGCCCCTGGAGTTAAAGTCCAGATCCCGCTAAACTCCCATGCCTGCTCTGGCTGTAGATCTCATAGACAAGCACTGCGGCCACCCACTGCAACCCCCCCTCTTCCAGGCCTGCCACAAAACAGAGCCTGGGGCCACTTGCTTTGTAAATAGCCAGGAGGAGAGGGTTCAGAGACGCAACCGCTGCACTCAGGGTCTGTGAGCCGTAGCAGGCATGAAAATTCAGCAGGAGCTGGACTTCCACCCACAGGTATACAGATCATATGTGGGGAGAAGGAGGTAGGTTCAATTATGACAGGTGGATTTACAGCAAAGTCACCCTGCAAGATTACTGGGCCTGGCATTGGACTTTGCCTGCGTTTCGGTCCACTGTGAATACAAAAAAATAGAGCTTGCAGACAATGATTTGCCACACGTCCAAACGCACTGCAGGCAGGGGGTGGCTGCGGTGCCATTGACTTCAATGCACCGCCACACCACCTCATTTAAATAAAGTTCAACTTTTTTTTAATGTGGTGATTGTTATCAACCACATCACATACTTATACATACTCACACTATATACCATTACATCCTAACACATTTAAGGAAGAGGGCAACAAAGGCATTTTCAAAGTATTTCCAGCTTGAACGTAATCAATTATTTTCAGAACCAGCTCCTCAAATCACTAGCAATAATGCTGGAAATCCATCTGTATTAAATAATTCCCCTCCCCCAACAAGACAATGACTGTGCATGATGATAGGGCACTGCTAGGTACAGACTTGTGCAGGACAAGTCACTGAACCGTTTTACTGCCAGGCAAATATCTGTGCATTGCGACAGCCATGACAGATGTTAAGGCTTGTGGCCCCAACTATGGCCAGCAGGTACATCATGACTGACTGCCCTGAGAAATGTTTGGCAGATCTTACAATCCATTAACTCCCTCATTATGATGTACCCAGAAAATCACATTAAACTCTGCTCATACTAACAAATAAACTGCTAGACATGTCCAACACTACAGACACAAAACTGTGTCAGTCTCCTGCAGAGAAAACAGGAAGCCAATTCATATAGAGTAAACTCCCAGTTATCTGGCACCCACCGGGATTGGTAGATGCCAGATAACTGTACTTTCTGGTTGTTTGAGAATTACTAGTAACACTCAAGAAACACCTCCCAGCACCCCCACTCATCATTGGCTATTTCAAATTGCAATAGCAGGCTGGCTATTGCACCCGTCCATGGCCTTCTGTCAGAGAAGCGGGACTGAAAGGGGGGGGGGAAAGATCAAGGATATATTATGTCCTCGATTTTTTTTTTATGCTGGATAATGGAGAGTTTACTGTAGATAGCTTTGTACAATCATGAAGGCAAGAGACCTAGGCATGTACATAACAGGGTAGCACAATAGAACTGGCTACATGACTTCTTGGATTTAGCCAAAGAATATATTAAGAGGGACAGCAAGTAACTAAAGTATTATATATTGCAAGAAGGCATTTTATAAATTCTTAGTGCTTTCAAATAAAAGTTCAATCTTCGGGTCCCTGTGATAGCCAATGATGGGTTACCATTGTAGAGGCAGACTATCTAGAGAAGTTGGTGTTTACTGTTGTGGGTTCCTGTAGTACAGATTAATACTGAACATCTCACAATGAAAGGATGACCAAACCCAAAAACGAAAGACATTGGAGATCATCAATCTTCAGATGTGGTGGCTGCATTAAGACTTTCTTTTTTTGGTAACCAGAGTTTCTGAAGGTACAGAAAATGACTGTCCATCCTCATAGAAATCCAGCATCCTTGCAACTTCTTGTTCACTGAACTGAAATCAAACAATGTCAGCTTTCCCAGCTATTGTATGTGAACTACAAAACACCTTTATCATGAAAATGGGGAGGTTTTCTGTAGTTCTAACACTTCCTATCCTAGGGTGACAATGCTGCTCATCCACACATACAATACAGTGAGTGATGTCACCCTAAGACAGGAAATGTGCTAATGGCAGCATCAGCAGGCAAAAATAATAAGAACAAACAACAACTTAAAAAACGGTTTAAAAAAAAAAACCCTTGCAGTGGAGATGCCCCAGCACTGCAAGGGTTAACTACTCAAATTGCTAGGAGATCTGTGTAAAAGACCTAAAAGATCCTTGCATCCTCTGATGGTTGGAGGACCGCTGATGTCATCAGATACATTGAAAGACCTATAGACCACAAGCCTGAGCATAAGGGAGAGTGGTAAGCGTGGATGAGGTACCAAAAAGGTCCCTTACATATCTCCCCTAGACATATGAGCAGTTAACCCTTGCACTGCAAGAAGTTCTCACCCCCGAAATAGGCTTTAAAAAAGGAAAACTAATGCAGCCACCACATCTAATGAACTGGTTTGGGGGCTCAAATATGTTTGATGGCTTATAGGACAGTGTCGGATTAGCAACTAAAGCTGGCCAATGATAGACAACCCTCCCCCCCAAAACAACATAAGAATTTAAGAGGCGTTAGGCCAGAGAAGGGAATGACAAACAGATCATGTGCTTCCGCCGACAGTGATTTATAATATTAAAAGTTAGGGTTCATACACAATGATCACAAATGCAGGATAGCCAAACTTCAGCCCTCCATCTGAGGTGAAACTACAAATGCCATCATGCCTGTGGCTGTCAGAAAACAGCAATGGCTTATGGGACTTGTAGTTCCACAACAGTCGCAGGGCTGACGTTTGGCTACCCGTTTGACTTGCAGCACTTCTAACTAAACGGGGTTGCGATTCCTGTGATATTCATGTTGAACCCTGAATTCTTGTTCTAATCCCCCAAGTTGTCACAGAAGCTCAGCATTCCTAGTAGGCGGCTGGTGTGGATGCGTATCAAGCCAGTGATGACTTGTGTCTACCTAACTCCTGGAATATATCCAGCCCTGGCAATCTACTACAAGGCCCAGCATCCCCTTTCCAACAAGTCTTGGAGCATGTGGTACCACTACAGCCGAAGAGACAAACAAGGTAAAAAGTGATGCGATTATAAAAGTCTACGGTGGCCTGTACCTTCCATCTCCATGTCCTCGGGTTCACTGAGCTGCTGCTCCCCGGGCTTCTGTTGCTGTTGATGATGGTTCATATCTCTGGGCTCGGCCTCCAAGGCCTCGGTGACTCCTGCTCGCTGCGCCGGCGTAGATCTGCTTTGTAGGCCCGGCTGGGTTGTGGCGGAGAGCGGCCTCGGCGGGGCCTGCGCAGCGGCTGCAGCCTGGGCCTTTCCCGCGGGCGGCTGCAGATGGGCCGGGGGTAGGGCAGAAGGGGCCGGCGGCAGAGAGACGCGAACGTATTTGCTCGCTATTCGCCCAATTTCGGCGCAGGGGGTCCGTCTCCCCGGGTGGCCTTCTCAGCAGCAGCCGGCGGAGAAAAACTCGAGGGCGCCCAACCAAGAGCCGTCGCTACACAGAGCCGGGCGGGTGAGAGAAAAAGGCTTAGGGCCTGGCAGCTCCGGGCCGAGGGGAGCACGTATGCTGCTCACTGCTTTCCTCCCTCTGCTCATTGGTCGAATGAGAGCACAGCCGGTGCAGCGGGAGCTCTGCGGCCTGACACTTTATTTTCTGACTGGCTCCGCGTCTTTCTAGTGTGAACCCTTCATGTACCCCGCTACGGACAAATCCGCGCCACCGTCTCCCCAATAGCAGTCCGCACCACACACTGCGGTGACCAACGGAGCACAATCCCTTCTCTACTAGCTTCCTTTCCTTCCCAGTCTGTGCTGGCCGCCTGCACAGCCTGTGTATGGAGACGCTAGGCTCTCAAAATGGCGGCTCAGTGAAATGTCACATCCGCATGGGGCAGCGTGATAGAGGGAGGTGGAGAGGAAGGAGGGAGGGAGAGATAATCAAAGCGTGGGACCGCCACGGCCCTCTGTAACAATCTGCTCATCAAACACTACCCTAGTCCTAAGTTGGCCATCTTTCATGTTTGGGGTGGGGTCTGGTGCCATCTTCAAGGCACTCAGCAGAACCCACACTCTGAAATATATAATTATTGTTTTTTCCATCCACTTTCTGATATTTCATGGCCATTTTAAAGTTATCGGGTCACTAAAACTCAGAGATGTCCTCTATTCTGAGGAAATTAGGTTTGCAATCTTTTCAGAAGACATTGCTGGCAGCAGAGCTAAACTATTGGAGACTTTGGTCTTTATGGAATGCACCAGGATTTCAAACCGGGATATTGGAATGTTTGGATGCAGCTCATGAGGCAACACGGTTTATCGCAGTGCACGATGATGCACGGTATGAGTGCGTATTACAGTAAGGGCTTGTTCATAAAAGGTCCTTTGAGCTGCGATTTAATGCGTGTTTCCGCACCAGTCTGATTGACGAGGCTCTAATTTTCTTAATAAATGGGCCCCAATGTATTTTGGCAATGGCTATGCCCCCAGTTATGCAAACCATTTGTGGTGGATCAGCAGGTCCTATCCCACATGTTGTCACCAACACGTGACAATACTCAGTTCGATCCTACCAGGTTGTCACCTAGACATGACGCTACCACTCTTAGCCTCAAGCCCATGACAGACTTCATGCGGAGCCAAGCCAAGCTATAAGGCACAGATTTTTGCACACAATGGGTGAGAGCTTAAGCCCTCGTTCACACCTGAACGTTTTGTAGCGCGTTCTACGCTCGACGAACGCTGTACAAAACGCTCAAACATCTAAATCCCATTGTATTCAATGGTTCTGGTTCACACCCTGGCGTATTTCAGCCCGTCCCTAAAGCGCTACAAAACGGCCCACGCCTGAAAAGGTACATGTACTACTTTGGGCCGTTTTTGTTGCGCGTTTCCATTGGGATACAGCCAAGTAGCCGTCTGTCGCGGTAAAAAAAACGCGCGACAGACGCGCATATGCAATACGCCTAGGTGTGAACCAGGGCTTAGTAGCTGAGCGCAGCCAGATAAAAGACTTCATCTTCAGGCAATCAGCTCACATGTAACAATTCAATGGACTTCGCATCCTGATGTGTGGGTTTATACACGTAAGCTGATTGGCTGGAGATGAAATTTTTCATCTCGGCACGCTCAACATGCCGGAGCGAAAATGGCAAGACACACTGCACGTGAAGGTCTGCACACCGCTTCCCTTTGCTCCGCAGTGCTCCACATGCAGTGTGTCACGGGCTTCACCCTGCACAGAGATTTTCCAGCTTACAGGATAACAATCTAAGACCAGCAGACTGAGAGCGATTGTCACTGTGGTTGATTAACGCCGCAGTTAACCCTCTACACAGAATAATAGTGGCTATTAATGGAAACACACCGTTTCTAGCAAATGCTGTGACAATTCTAACCTTAAGCAATGCCTGTGATGCCCACTGTCCCTCCAGAAAGGAATATATCAAGGTTTACAATATGGTAGCAGCTCTTCACAGAGACAATATACTTTAGGCTCTTATTTAGAGTGTAGAAATAAGCTTAACGATTTTAAAGATAGTTTTTAATATAAGAAAAGGTGTAGAAACACACAGTAAAATGTTACGTAAGAGACCAATAATACAAGAGTAAAACAAAAAGGGAATAAGAATGAAATTACTTAGCAAAGTCATGGGTTCCAGCGGAGTCAAATCAATGAAACAGAAAATGGATCTGGAATTGACTCTATAGGAGTAAAGCCTGGCAAAGGTTGTGTTCTTCCTGTTAAACGAGAGCTTTTTTTTTTTTTGATGATACATGACAGCTCCCAGCTGCGTTTTGTGGGGCCTCTAGAGAGTTTCATTGAGTGAGTATGCACCCACATAATAACATCTGATAAACCACAGATAATTGTGCGTTATGAAATTAGCTTTGCATAGAAACTAGTCCTGACATACCTGGGGTGTATGCCACCCTCAGAAAGTGTAATGTGTGTCTTTAGCCTTCTGGACCTCCTAAGCCCAGATTGCCTCTTAGCCCTCACTGAAACTTGGCTCTCTCCCGCTGACTCTGCTACCCCAGCTTCACTGTCATATGGCGGCTTCCAATTCTCACACATTCCAAGACATGGAGATCGCAAAAGTGGCGGTGTTGGTCTACTTCTCTCACCTCACTGCACCTTTTAGGTTATTGCCCCCGTACTATTTTGTCCTTTTCATCCATTGAGGTTCACACCGTCCTCCTCTTTTGCCCCTATTCATTTAAAATTGCAGTTATTTATCATCCTCCTGGTCACTCTGGTCCATTCATTGAGCACCCTTCAGCATGGCTCCCTCACTTGTCCTTTGTCAGACGTCCCAGGGAGCTAGTAGTGAGATGAGGAACCCACTGGCAGTAAGCAGTACAAGTTTAGGGATAATCCAAGAGGGGTAGTCAATGTCCAATCCGGGTCGAAGCAGGCAGTGAAGGTTCAAAGGCGGAAGACAGTCCAAGGGTCGGTAATCGGGAAGGATACAAAGGGGCAACAGGCAAATAGGAGGATCAGCAGGGAGGCTAGGTGTTCACCATAAGGTGGAATAACTCAGCAATAAGCCAGAGCTCAGGCCAGGTCTTTATAGCCAGGGGAGGTAGGACCACCCCCTGGTCACCGAGGCAACCAGGAGGCCTCCCTCCCTGGGAACCAATGGCAGGCGAGGAAGATGGAAGGTGTGTACTGGGAACCTCCCCCAGCAAGGCTCACACCTGATAGCCAGATGATGCAGGAACGCTATGCTCCTGGGGATGCGCGCGCAGCCTGCGTACTGCACATGTGCCCACGCCGCGTGACTCGCGCATGCGCACCTGCACCTCGGGCACCAGGTGTTCTACCGAGCTGAAAGGGAACCCGTGCCCTGCGTCGTGCCCGTGGTCCCCGAGTAGAGGTAACACCCCTTGCTTCCTGACATCCTCTGCCCCTCTCCCTCTGTTATTCTTGGAGACTTTAATATCCCTATTGATACCCCTACTAGCTCCGAAGCCTCCAAATTTCTTTCTATGATCTCCGTCTCACACAATGGTCACTTTCCCCTACACATTAAGCCGGCAACAGTTTGGACCTTATCTTTTCAACTCATTGTACAGTTTCAAACTTCTTCAACACTCCACACCCTCTCTCTGATCACCACCTTCTAAGTTGTGATATCATTCTGCCCCTTGCCCACCCACTCTCCTATGACACTACTTGGCCCCTCAGAAACCTTAGAATTCTTAATCTGTTGAAGTTTTCAACAGAAGTTCACCCTCTCCTCTCACCAATCTCTAATTCCACCTGCCCCTCCACAGCCACTACCCTTTAGAACTATGCCTTTTCTACCACTTTAGATAAACTGTCCCCCATCACATCCCTTCCTGTCTGTCAACCTAAGCGCCAACCCTGGCATACTAACCCCACCCGCTACCTCCAAAGGTGCTCTAGGGTTGCTGAACGGTGTTTGGAGGAAGTTGCACACTACTTCTGACTTCCTACACTACAAATTCATGCTACGATCCTACAGTCTTGCTCTGTCCCTAGCCAAACAAACATACTTTAACACCCTTATCTCCACCTTCTCTCATGACTCCAAGTGCCTATTTCAAACCTTTAATTCACTAATGCGCCCTCCTCCCGCTCCCCCCACTAACCTCTCTGCTACAAATTTAGCATCATTTTTCACAGAGAAGATTGACAACATCCGACATGAAATCGCCTCTCTTACTGCCTCTCTTACCCAACCTAACCTTTGTCCAGCCTCTTCCTCTTCACTCAGTGCTTTCTCCCAAGTTTCCAAAGTAGAGGTTTCTGCTCTTCTCCTCTCCTCCTCCCCTACCACCTGTCCCCTCGACCCCATTCCATCACACCTCTCTCTTCTATGATTTTCCCTTCTCTCACAAAAATCTTCCTCTTTCCTCCAGCATGTTTCCCTCTTCCTTCAAACAAGCCTTCATCAAACCCATACTAAAGAAACTCAACCCTGAAGCTTTAGCTAGCTATCGCCCCAATCTATCTTCTTCCCCTTGCCTCGAAACTCCTCTAAAGACTGGTGTATACCTGACTCAAAGACTACCTGAACTCCAACTCCATACTTGACCCTTTACAATCTGGTTTTCACCCCAAAACTCCACAGAGACTGCCTTGACCAAAGTGACTAATGACCTAGTGACAGCCAAATCTAAAGGACATTATTCACTTCTTATTCTTCTTGACCTTTCTGCTGCTTTTGACCACCT